TAACCGGTGAATGAGGCCTGCTACTTGTCCAGCTGAGACCGTTCTTTCGGATGCATCGTTACGGATTCTCCTTAGTCGAGAATCTACATGTTCAGCAATTTGGAGCTGGTCCAGAGTCAGTTGCCTGTGATTATCTTGGTGCACAGTCTGGAAGTGGGTGCGGAAGTCGGCGGCGGATAGATCAGAGGCCGACTTGAGTCCATTACGCCGTATCTGTTGCACACGTCGCCAGAAGGCTGTCAGATTTTTGTCACGGCGGAGCAGTCGGAGAGTGTGGGCCTCGCTCTCGATCCGCGTCACTGCTGCACGTCTGCGGGCGTGACGGTAAGCAGATCTTGCAGCCTGATAGCACTGTGCCACTGCTGAGAGGGTAGGACGGCCACAGTTTAACCATATCTGATGCCAGAAACGAGTGCGATCCCGCGCCACTGCCACATCAGGCGACCACCAGGGCTTCGGGGGACGTCGCGACTTGGAGCATCCGGCGATTCGCGCAGCGGTATGTATGCATCGTGTAATTGCTTCGTCAATCTCATCCGGGGTGGCACCGTTGGTGAGCTGACAAGCACCAATAAGCTCGTCCAGAGAAGACAAATATATCTGCAGTTTTTCTGGACAACTCCAATCTAGTACTTCTGAATGGATGGAACCCATATTCAGTGGAGGGCTGGAGACATCGAGACTGGTGCCAGCTGAGGCAGACGGCAGCACCACACTGCAAAGGACCGGAAGATGTGGGCTCAGGTTGTCCACACAGGGGGCTACGATGCGACAGTCATGAACTTGAGGCACCAGACATTGCGGTACAGCGATGTGATCGATGTGCGATTGGCCGTCAGCTCGAGCATAGGTGTACGCCACTGGTTGCGAGAACCGGAACTCGGCGACTGTCAGTCCGTGGTCGTCCAATAAGTCTTGCATTAGAAGACTCAGCGGAGAGAAACCCCGAAGACGGTGCCAGCCCGGTGGGCGCAGTTCTGGTGACAGTGGTGGCAGAGCACAGTTAAAATCGCCTACAAGCACCACTGGAGCTGAGGGTCTTAGCGAAGAGAATAATGCATCAAGCTTCCCCGTCAGGATTGTGTACTCTTCAAAATTTACGGCAGATGAATTCCAGTACGGCATGTAGCAGCCAATTATCGTTATAAGAGGACGGCTCAGCTCCACAATCGTAACTCCACAGATACGAGAATCATTACACTCTACAGCGCGAAATGTGCGCCCCGCTTGACGGCGGCAAACAAAAGTGGCTTTGAAATGCCCAGATGCGCATAGCAAGGGTGGGTAGAAATTTGAATGAATCCCACATTATTAAATTGCATTCCATTAGACCCTCCGCCGCCCATCAACTGTCATGTTGGCCTTACCTTCTTTAATTTCGAATCATGAACTCGGCATGGTAGGATAACGTCTTCTCCTGCTGTAGCCTCTATCAAGGTGTTGTTATTTGACAGGAAACTCGTATTCGGCGCTGGCGGAGTATCTTCATCATGATTTGCTTTGTCTTCATTGCAGGACTTCCCCGCTGAAACACGAATATGAAGAGGTAATCGTCATTAATCAGAACATTAGTTTGTGCTCACATCGTTCTTCTTTTATACAGAGAGTAACAATATTCCGTGTCAGGCGTCTAAGTACATATGTATGATGCCATGCGCCGATAAAAGTGCCATTGGATCAGGTCAGGGTCAGGGTCAGTGCCGAATTGCTCTTTTAGTGGTAGTGCAACATCTGTAAGGTATATATCTGAAATATCTCGATGACTGTTGCATAATGAAAACTGTAATTACGAGCGAGCGAGCGCAGCGAGCGAAGCGAAGTCTTTTTTTTCAATATAACGGAAAAATCTCAGTATGAGAGGCCCGGCCCGGCCCGGCCCGGCCTGTAACGCTTTTGAGAGGCTTATATCTCAACAACCGCTGGACCGATTTGCCTGCGGTCTTTTTTGCTGGGTAGCCCCATCCCTTCTACCCCGTAATTGACTACTTTTGACACATCTCAGTGACCGTCGTGGCACGTGCCACCGAAAGTCAAGGGTGTTCAAGCTGTTTTGCAAAAGTAGTGATTTTGAGAGGCTCATATTTCAGCAGCCGCTTGGGCGAACTTCTTACGGTAATTTTTGTAAAGTAGCTGCATCCCTTCTACCAAAGGTCGGCTACTCTTGATCTATGTGAGTGACCCCCACTGCACGTGCAAAATAAAGAAAGAAGAGGTGCCAAATTTGTTCCCATTTCAATAACTCTGTAATTACTGGGGCGATTTCGCTGAAAATTGGCATACAGGTAAGCACCCACCAGGCAATGCATTCCGATGTGTTGCGGTTAGGGTGCTACTGCACGTGCGCACGTGCAGGGGGCGCTTCCAGATCTCGAGAACGGCTGGGCCGATTGCGCTCAAATTTGGTACACGGTTGGGGACCGATTAGTAAGGTGCCGTGCAAAAGTCAGTTTGGACCCCGTTTGCACGTGCGCACGTGCAGAATGCCGCTTCCAGATCTCAGGAACGGCTGGGCCGATTGCGTTCAAATTTGACACACCGCTAGCGACCGGTTAGAAGGGTGCTTTGCACAAGCCCCGTTAGAAGTACTCTCTCGCCCTTCCCTTCCGTCCTTGTTAGGTCACGAGTAACAATGGCGAAACTCGTCAACCAGGGGCCGAACGGCTAGAGCCCTACCCCACTCTTACCCCAGCCAGACACTCGCTCAAAAAATTATGGTGTCACCAGAGGTCATTTAGGGGAAGAATTTTCGATTTTCCAATTGAGAACGATACTGTTCAACATGCGATGTTCAGTTTTCTGACTAAGACAGCCTGAACGGTGAACAAAAATAATGAAGACTTTCTTGTAGTACGATGACAGATTGGACCTTATGCCAGCCGTTTGACCTATAAAGGTCATAGGAGAACATGGTGAATCGCTATAGCATGCATTGTTTTCATGGCGCAGGTAGTTGGCCGTTATTGCTTTGAAAACGATCGCACTTCCTTCGCATTCTTTACAATTTGCGTCAGATGATGATACGACTTGGAAAGGTCAAACAGAATCTAACTTAAAGTCAAGGTCATGACCTGATGCAAATCTGTCATCTTGCATACTAGTCAATTGTGTGACCTCGATGACTGCATATGCTTACTTACTTGCAAGCCTACAACTTATTTTGATAGCAAATTATTGGCCAGCAGCGAAAAAGCGCATCTGGAATGAAGACTCGGGCGGAGATCCACCCCGTCTGCAGACGGGGTGTGCCCATGCTGTACACAGCTGATAAATAATATATGTAAATCTCAGGATACAAATGCACTTTTAGACGCAAAAGCTAATTACTCGTTGCTCAGCCATGTCAATTATTAACCCTCGCCCCGCTGGGGGGCAATTTGCCCCCCCCCCCCTGTGGTTTTCCAGAATAGCAGGAAAACGTCGGCGCACAGCGCCGCCAAATTTTCAGTACCGTCCCGGGCATCAATCTGACACCTTCACACAAAATTTCAAGTCTTAGGCATCTTAGGTCAGGAGTTATTGAGGTCAAACTGAGGTCATGTTCGAGCAAAAATGAGCAAATAACACGAAATCTTGAAACGCTCACGAAAGCTACAGTTATCAAGCAAATTCAAAGTTCTTTATATGGTCATGTAGACAAAAGGCGGCACTACAAAACTCAAAACTGCTATCTCGGATTTGCAACTTTTTTGAATTTTGACCCCCAAAAATTCATAAAATTGATTTTTTAGAAAAACGCAAAAAAAAACAAATTTTCCGAATATCGAAAAAACCGGAAGATATGTGATAGTCCCTACCCTTTTCTATCTACATACCAACTTTTAGATCGATACCTCCTTTTTTGGCCAAGTTATACAAAATAACTGTTCAAAATTGATGACGTCAAATTTTTTAACTCAATTTTTGGCAAGTATTGACCTCGTAGCGCAAAACAAAGACCACCATTAGACTCCCTGTGACGAGCTGCATTGAATCGATACCCATTTTATGCAAAAATATCAACTTTGAAATTTGACATAGTTTGACCTGACCTTGACCTGACCTTGATCTGACCTTGACCTGACCTTCACCAGTACATAATCTAACCTGACCCCAAAGGCTGCCTGACCCACATAATCGTATTTGGCATATAAAATGGACCATAAAACATGCATCACATGATATGTTCATATTGTGACCCTCAGTGACCTGACCTCTGTGACCTGATCTGGTATCAGTGACCTCAAATAGCAGAATGTGTTTTACAAACATTTCTACACCGATGATTTTCAATGAAATGCATTTTACTCGATTTTACAACGCATTTCTTGAAATGACTGTAAACGGTGAAAATTCGACATTTGACCTGACCTGTGACGTCATCGGTTTGACCTAGGTCAATGAAATTGGGTCACAAGGTAGCTCCCTGGTAGGGCTATCTAACACCCTTTGCCGCTTGTCGCTATGTTGCGTGGTTCTCGAGATCTTAGGGGGGGGGGGGGGCAAATTGCCCGACCCCCTCCCTCAGAAGGGCGCGTTGCTCGGCAGACCCCAGCGGGGCGCGGGTTAAGTGACCTGAGGTCGGGTCACATATTTCGACTCTTATTTCGAATCATTTACATAAATTGTATCGAGTGTAACGAACAAATGAGCATAGTTCAAAATAAAAACGAATGCAATAGATATTCATTTAAACAAAATCCTTTTAAATCTTTAACAACACCGCTGACTAGCTGCCGTATGATTTGACGTTTAATGCGCGACCAAACTGACCTGATTATGAACTAATGCAGGCCGCTTTCCTATCACGGCCAGCTTTGTTGAGTCTTACCTTTGGCCGAAGGTGCGAGCAGCAGGCACAGCAGCAGCAGCAAGCGCAGAGCGCGGCCGCCGACACCCTCGCCCCACATGCTGAGCCGTTAGACTATCGAGCCGAGATGCGCTTTCGACCGTGTCCCCATTTCTGGCCGGCGCGGTGCGCCGGGGCGGACGTCTCGCTCCGTGCGCCAGCGGGGGTAACGGTGCAGCCGCCGCGTGGCAGCGGCGCGCCGTGCCGCCGCGTCCGGACACTCAGTACAGCGGCGGAACCCAGCTGATCCCGCGCGACTCAACACACGGAGCAGCCTCAGCATGGGCGAGGACAAGGCGGCCACTCCGCTGCTGCCGCTGGCCGTACGGGTGAGTGGTGTCCGCTGCTGTCAGCGACTGTCAGAGCGACTGCCCGCTGCTGTCAGCGACTCTGTTCCGCCCGCTTTCCGGCGGCTGTCCCGGGTCACCTATCCTCCGCCCGGCGGCTGTCCCAGGTCACCCGTCGGCGGCTGTCCCAGGTCACCTGCTCCCTGCCTGCTGTTGATGGCTGTCGTGGGTCACCTGTCCGCTGCTCTCTGTCTGGGGTATGTTGCGTGCTGCTGTGGCCGTCCATGGGTCACCCGTGTCCGTTGTTAGCGGCTGCCTGAGGTCAACGCTCCTCTTCATGGCCGTCTAGGTCAGCTGTCCACTGCTCTGTGTTTGGATCTGTTGCCTGCTGTTGTAGCCGTCCGTGGGTCACTTGTCCGTTGTTAGCGTCTGTCTTGGGTCGCCTGTCCGTCCACGTCACCTGTCCGCTGTCTCGTATAGTGCTAGTGAGGCTGTCCAGGTTGGCTGTGCGCTGTTACCAAAGGCTGTGCTGATCGGCTATCTTCCGCCGACTGAGGCCACAAGCCGTTCGTCCGCGCTGCTGTATATAAATTCAGCGTCTGCTCGAATGACGTTAGTGTGCGAACACGTCACCAGTGGCTGACCACTGCATCACATTAAGCCGCGCCGGCCCGGTGCAGTGCTCGATGCCACCTGCGCCAGCCCCGTGGGGGGGGGGGGAGGAGGGCGGTGGAACGTAACGTTCCCATCCTCTTACTCGGCTCCTGGGACACGTAACGGAACGCAGCAAGCGGCGTTTGAGATAGTATCAACAATCATGAAGAAAGCATTTCATTCATTTTCTAGGTCGGGTCAACGGTCAGGTCACCTCCTTGTTTGAGTCAGAGTTGAGTCAGGGCTCAAAATTGACCTCAAACTTTGCACTTTTTCCTATATCTTGCAGACTAAATTCCAAGACTTTTTGAGATGTTTTGAGGCTTATCAGACCCCTATTTGTGGCTCGTCCTACGATACTAAGCTGCCCCAAGGTCAAGGTCACGGGGGAGTATCCTTGCTAGAGGCTATTTCTTTAATTCAAGTCAGTCATAACAACCAAGACAATATGCCATCCCGAGGCTCTAAATGAACGCGAAGAGCAAAATGGATGCCAGATTCGTGATCAGTGGCTATGGGTTCATCCTATACGAGTTTTCATGTGTCAAGGTCAACCGAAGGTCATTCGAGGTCACATGAGGTCAACATAAAACTTGACCTTTTCCAAACAAAATATATGTCATTCGACGCAGCTTGACAAAAAAGAATGCGTTGGTACCACTACCGTAGCTCTAGTACCATTTTTGTTGAAGCTATTTGCGAAGAACCAATTTCAACGACCCCACCTCGGGGTCGTTGAACTGACCAGGTCAGCGAAACTATTTTTCTATTTTCCCTAGGTTAAACGCTACACAGCCGTGCTCGTAAATCGCCTTTATCTCTTAGACTCTATTTTTACCAGCTATTTGAAGTTCACGACTGTGATGCCGAGGTTTGCCGTGCAGAGGTCTAAAAAATCGACCCTGTGACGTCATCAAGGGAGATAGATCCATTTTTTTATTTCAGAAGACGTCACATTGACGGGGGAAAAGGTTCTTGAAGTTTCGTTTTCCTATCCATAAGCGTTCGGGAGCTATCGGCAATATTAGACAGGGGGCGAAAAACGTCTCCCGGCCCTCTAGGGTTAACGAGGGCAAAATAACTATTTAAAAGTACATTTTTTAATGAAAGATATTTGTCTACAATAACGTTCGAAGATGCATCGAATGCATCGAATGAACTAAAATTTGACATTAAGGTCATTAAAAATATGACCTTTGGTCAAGGTCAAGACCCGACAGGAAAAGTTCGTGTTTCATATCAGTCGATCATCGATCCGTATCATCGCGCTGAACACATTCATGTTTGCATCGCTATAGCGTGTCGCTATCAAAAGTTATTGTCAAAGAACTGCTATTTGCCTTTCTTGGGCTACGATGACCTCAGATAACTAAAGTGGGGCCATGGGTGTAATTTCCGGTTCAATATGGAATGACGAATGTTGCCCTAAAAGCACGATGTTTAACCCGCGCCCCAGTGGCGGTCTCAGCCAACTTCGCCCTAGTGGGGGGGGGGGGGGCATATGTTACCACCCACCTCTAACTCAAAAACTAAGAGGGCTAGAAAGACGCGGTAAAAAGCAGAAACTTATAATTGAGAATTGAGATGTCGCGAAATTCACTTGACCTAGGTCATCGATATTGAAAATCCGAGGTTAATATTTTTGTGCATCTCATCAATCGCTGAACGTTTCAAAGCAATCAGTTCGTCAGTGTACTGTGTAGCTGTCATAAGAAATAATTTTTGAAGCTAGGTCACTTGAGTTGACCTGGTGACCTGACCTTGAACGATATGGGTCTAAAACTTTCATATAAGCGTAAAAGATGCATCAAGTGGTGTGCCAAGAATAGAAACGGTGCCAAAATAGACTGTATAATGTATAGGTATAGGACTTCATATCGCACCGCGCTGTAATTTTGAAAATTCCTGGATTTTCAATTTTTCTCAAAGGTAATTAATAACTACGTTCCTTACTTGAAAAGTTAGTTTGGCATTATTTCCAATCAACTAATTCATCTAAAACAAAAACTGAGCTCTCTGCACGCTACACACAGTCACCTGTGGCATCCTTGGGACGGCGCTGTTTCTATGTATTCATCACACTCTGAGCTGCCGTTCAGTGCTGAGGTCGTGTATGTATGTGTTCTCACAGCAGGGTATCAGCCACGCGGTGTCGGCCTCTCAGCGCCGCTCGCTGGTCAGCCGGCTGGTGCTGGTCGTCGTGGTCACTGCCGTACTCTACTGCCTGCTGGTCGTGTCCAGCTCGTCCCTGCCGGCTCGGCAGCAGGTCCTTAATGGTGAGCGGGCGGCGGGGGCGGCAGGTCCGCAATGCTGAGCGGGCGGCGGGGGCGGCAGGCGCTGATAATGGTGAGCGGGCGGCGGGGGCGGCAGGGGCGGCAGGTCCTCAATGGTGAGCGGGCGGCGGGGGCGGGGGCGGCAGGTCCTCAATGGTGAGCGGGCGGCAGGGGCGGCAGGTCCTTAATGGTGAGTGGGGCGCGGACGATATGTCCGCGATGCTGAGCGGGGTACGGGCGGCGGGGGCGGCAGACGACGTCCGGAAGGGTAGGGGTGGAACACTCACCATGGACTCACTCATCCCAGTATTATTCGTACTGCAATGAACGTAATCACGAGCGGTCTTTGTGTTGTTTTCCCCCCAAGGTTTTAGTGAATTGACGTACATTATGGGCGCACAGTTGCATGCCATTTGGGCATTGTTAGCATTAATGGTCAATTCAAGTTATCCCGTGTTCTTAATGGAGGCATTGGCCCATACGTAAGCAGTAGGTACCGTGGGACGAATGCAGTGTTGGGAACGAACACATCCTGTACTGTGAATATCGCCGTGATGATATGTGAATAAGTCCGGTCATCATTTACAGGTGATGCCTATTGCCTTTCATAATTTAGGAAGTTCCCTAGGAAGGCTTATTTATTCATTTTTAGGCTAAAATGCGTAGCTTTTTTTCGCCAACATGCATGCCCACAGAAAAGCAAAATAACGTTCGTAGTATAACAAATGTAATGCAAAAAAAAAAAAAAAAACACAGCGATTCATCATCATCCCCCACCGGTAGCTCGAGACGCAACTGCATGTAATGATGCATGTACTCGAATGCATATATTATTTGAATATTTACATTTCGCTCTCAAGATGTAAATTATTTCAACAACGAACAATAAATGACCTCCCAGAGTTTTTTCCACCACTCACATTACTTTGATTCTAGTTCGCAATGATGCTTGGAATATACTGTAGTAACACTGCAGCACCTACTGTTGCAGCCAACATTTACGTCGATCAGCACACGGACGCAACGGCGCCGCCGCCGCCGGCACCGACGCGCGTGCAGACGACCACCACTGAGGCGCCCTTCCACGCGGCGACGACCATGAAAGCGGAGACGGGGCCGCACCAGCTGCACTTCCGGCAGCCGCCCAAGAGCGTGGTGGTGGTGCGCCGAGGCGGCGACGTCCAGCTCGACTGCAGAGTCGAGTCCAAACCACACGCCATCGTGAGTGGAGTGCCACACGCCATCGTCAGTGGAGAGCCCATCGGCCGGCTCCTGTTGACTTAGGGACAGACTGTCGCCCGACTCGCAGTGAAATTGTCAATAGACTGGAGAAACCCGACAGGCGAGTGCCTGTGACTCGCTCAGAATAACTTTTGTCGATTAGTCGTGATCAAAAGTAGCCGCTTGACGAAAATATTTTAACGACTCGTATTCGACCAACGGAGCAATCAAAATCTTGCTGGTTTGTTGTGTCGTTTATTTTTCGATCGTAATCGATTATAAGTCCGTAGGCTGTACTATGGCTACTAAATATTTGCCGTTTCATATCAGACCGATCCCCTATCCCAATGCCCATTTTATCTTAGGAGCCCCCTCAATCGTCCGTTATCTCCTTGCTGATCAGAAAGGTAGTCCTCTCCGAAACTGTTTACGGAAGTGTTCCGAAATAATTCAGAAAGCTTTATTTACCGGTCGATTTAAATATTCGGAGGAAAATTAGATGTATCATACCTACTGGAGAGTGTGTATACTGGCGCAGCGCGAATAATTTGGAAGGTACCATACGCAATGAGCATGACCAAGATATGTTTTTTTGGAGGGGGGAGGGGCTAAGGTGCCGCCCGCCGGCCTGAAATAAGTGAGTAATTGAGACCCTTGGTGTAAAAGGAGCTCTAAGTAGAATCACCAGACAGGACCGTCAGATCATGTCTTAGGCCTGGGCCTGAATCAGGCTGTGATGGTTTGAAACGACTGCACATAGCTCACGACTCCCTATATGAGTTGCTGGGCTTTCTTGCAGGTGACCTGGTACAAGGACGGCGATAACTTCCTCACAATGGGAGGCAGGACGTACGTCGACGACAGCCGAATCAGCGCTCACGTAGGAGAGAAGGCGAGTGCTCGTACATTTCGCACAAAAGAATACTTAGTACAAAACATGTCATACCTATCCATGCAAGCATACAAGCAAAAACACAAAATGCATTACGAGAACCTCACCGAGAGCATCCACATCTGTGTTTGTGCTCGTACTCATGCCATAAGTTTGGTTATTTATCGTGTACGTTAGATACCATAGGTATGTAGGGCACGTTTGGAGACATGTGTTATGTACATAATTGTAATAAGCGAGTGTGAATTTCACGCACTGTCCGCATTTTATGTACCTATAAGTGGAGCTATTGGCAAGAAGCTGAAACTAAATGGGCAACGATGTGCTTTTATACTTGCTTTTCATTTTTAATCGGTTTTCAATGTTTTTTTTTTTTTGTAGGCATGTATGTGTGTAATGTTTGTGCTACATCGGCCTTTCAGTGTAATACCACTTGACCAGGCGTACAGCGAGCTCCTTGCTAGTTGCACGACGCATTTACCTACCTATAAATCTGGAGCTGGTCCCAACACTCACGGAGTTTGCTATGAGATGGAGCGGAGAGGTCGTAGCGCCAGCTCACCCTCCGTGTTTGCTGGCAGGGTCTGAACTGGGCCCTCCGGATCCGTGATGTGAAGATGACCGACGCCGCGTCATACACCTGCCACATGGCGCTGGCCTCGGACGGTATCGTTAACGTCGAGCTGGACGTAATCCGTGAGTTAACGCTTGCCACAAAATGCGCGGGGCTTCTTAGCGGTTATGACTAGGTACTTCATTTTGCAGGAGCGCAGTTACCTGTCTGATAAGTACCAGCGATCGTTTTCTTGCAGCGCCCTTTAACAACAAAACAGCATCTGGTATAAAAAAGATCGTTAGTGCTTTCAATATCACACCAAATGTCGACTTTTGCGTAACGTCATAGACCACATTTGAATACAATTTCTCTGATTTACCTATTCCAGAAGTTTCAGTAGTTTTTCTTCAAGCTAAGTTTTCCATGTGCGTTTCTCTGCCGACAGCTGCGATTGGAGACGAAGAGCTGCCGGCGCCGAGAATGACCAGCAAGCTGGGAGACATCCTCGTTCCTGGCTTCGAGACCACTCCGGACGTATGCCCGGAAGAGGGCACCAACAGGGAGCTGCTGATCGGGCTGGTCTCGCACCCGCAGTACGTCACCTCGCGGGACAGGGTGCGCAACACCTGGCTCCAGCTGCTCGACAAGAGGACATGGGCCGCCGTGTTCGTCATGGGCAGCATCAGTCCCGCCATCATGGAGGGGAACAAAGACGAGGCCAAGAAACACGGCGACGTCGTGATCGGCAAGTTCCGCGACGTCAGTGCCGAGCCGTACACGGAGGGCGTGAAGCGTCTGGCGCTTCTCAACTGGGTGATCGAGCACTGCCGGTTCGCCAACTTTACACTGGTCGCCACGCACAACGAGTTCGTGAACCCGACACTGCTGAAGACGCTCATCAAGGACCTGAACCCGGACGAGCCGGCCATCTACGGCATCACGGGCGGCAACCGGACGGTGGCGCGCGACCCCAACGACCCGTCCTACCTGTCGTACGCGTCCTACCAGCGCAGCCAACTGCCCGAGTACGCCTCCGAGCCGACCTTCCTGGTGTCCCGCGCCGCAGTGGGGATGCTGACAGAGGCGGCGGCCACCATCAACGCCATCCCGCTCTACCACATCCTGCTTACAGGAATCGCAGCCGAAAAGGCCGGCGTCAAACGGGTTCACATGCCGCAGCTCTTCAAGGCGAGTCAGAGTATCGAAGCGTGTGACTTTGAGAAATTCGCTGTCGGTCACTCGTGGGGTGAGCCCCTCGATAAAAAGGTGGCCAAGAAGATTGAATCCGGAAAAGGTTGTTAGTGATGACTGATCAGGGCAATGCCGAGGTCTGCGATCGAGAGAGTAATTTGTTAAGTGTTACGATCTTCATTCTGCTAAGTTATTGATAAACTCTAAGGGAAGGGTTTGTGTAGAAGCTCATTTTAACCCTCGCACGACCAGGCCATTTCTCATAACACGAACGACCAGGGGGGGGGGGGGGTTGTTACGACCCCCCCCTGGCGTTTCGAAACGGAAGGTCGTAGAGCTTAGCGGAAAAAACCAACGGATTGCTCTCAACGAGATCTCGCGATTGGTGGTGTATTTTTTGGTCCCAGGTCAACATTTGACCTACTTTTGACCGGTCAAAGGTCAAATTTTCGGAAAAATAGACTTTTTTTCAACTTTCGGCGGCGATTGCGGCAAAACGGTGGGAGATATCGACTTGAAACCTTCACTATCGTGTTCCTTGATCAATTCTCTATCGTTTGGTATGTATTTCGTTTCCCTAGCTCTAAAAATGGCGCGTTGGGAGCGCCGGAAGTCGGCAAGGTCACAGTCGGCGGCAGAAATTCGAAAAATCAAAATTTAAATTTTTGAAATCTGATTGTATTTTTGGATTTGGGAGGTCCATTTGCTCCCTATAGAAGCTAATATTGCTGCATATTCCCATTGAGGTGACAAGAATTAGCAAAATAGTGGTTCGGGCGCTTTTCAAAAATAGTACCGGACGCTGTTCCTCTTGTGACGTCATAGCTCCGTGACCTGACCTGACCCGGTCAAATTTCTTATACCATATGATAGCCAATACTTGCCCCAACATGCATGGGAAGTTTCATCACGATCCATCAACCGATGTCCGTACCACTGGCAGGAAACCTCGGGCGTTGGCACTCAGTTTGTGAAAATCCGGCCGGAGGCTGTACCTCTTATGACGTCATAACTCCGTGACCTGACATGACCCGATCAATTTTTTTTCGGCAAAAGATGCGCAAAGGTTGCCCCATAGGGTGTTGAAAATTTCAGCCCGCTACGACAAGCCGTTTAGCGTGCACTTCGAAAAAACCTCAGGGGGGGGGGTTGATACAACCCCCCCCCCCTAGGCGTTCTAGGGTTAAAGATACTAGTGACGTTGGGATGTTAATGTTGTATGTTATGCGTTCCATTTTATAGACATTTTTATGAATGTATTTATGAGTGATGAAATTGGTGCTGTCGCAGCATATTTCTGCATTACCGTGTCCGTTTAACTATTTTGTCGTATGTTCAGGTGCGGTGCGTTGGGAATGAGGATGATGTCAATCACCATAATGATAAATGCTGACGCTGAAATGTTAAAATGATGAAGTTGAAACACCTCTCTTATTCGCGGTGAGGGGGCTTACGACACACTTGCTGTGGTGGGGGAGGTAATATGATTGGCTCCAACCCATCTGACCCATCCTTGAAGGCTAAGAAGGACAGCAAGACACGCCACGGGAATAGTAACCAATAAGCATATCCAACGACTTAGCGAGTAGGTCAAATGTACTACAGTTTTTTTTTTTTAATGAAGCCGGTAACCGACGACGTAGCATATGCTATGGGGGAGCCTGGAGGGCGGAAAACGATTTACAGCTCATCAAATGACATAATCAATTGACATTTTTCCCTCGGCTGTGTCGGCTTTGACATCATGCCAGCCATTTGGGTCGCGACCAGCTTGGAATCATTTCGCAAATGCTCTTTTACATTATACTTTTAATCCATTAAACCTACATATGAGGTATTCGTAAGATTCGTAGGACATCCGTGTATCACAAGGATGTCACCAACATATGAGATATTGCTCTCAATAAGGCGCGCCGAATGTTATTGAATGTTACCAGAAGTGTCAAACATAAAAAATTAACGCCAGGTAAAAGTCCTGGACGATCAAAATGGGTGACATTAGCCGTTTTCACGACGGCCATCTGGTACACATTTGGTGCAAATTTGGTGCAGATTAGGTGCAGATTTGGTCAAATTAGGTCCAGTGTGTCTCTTAGTAGCTATAAGCTAGTGTTGCATTGCTTATATGCCTGCTTTGTCATACTATCAGAGATTATCATCGATTAAAACACTGAAATAAATTCATAAAATAAAGATATTTGCTGTAAAAGAGATAAGGTGCAGATTTGGTCAAATCAGGTGCACTCACCGGATAGCCCGTCGTGAAAACGGCTATTAACCATTCGATGTGCCACAGCGAGGAAAACACATCGAACCATTTTTGACTCTCTCACATTTGCTATCAAAAATGATGTTACAAAAATTAATACGCAATAAAATTAACCCTCGCCGGCACAGGTCATTTTGCGTCCTTCGACGACGGCACAAGGGGGGGGGATGGTACGATCCCCCCTCGTGTTTGGCTCTTGATCATGCTAGAGCTTCGCAGAAAAAATGAGCGTGTTGCTCGTGACGAGAGGAAGCCGATGATACCCAATTTTGAGGTCCTAGGTCATCATTTGACCTTCCAGGTCAGGTCGATGACCAAAAAGTCGGAAAAATCGGGATCTGTATAGAACGTCGTAAAGTGTGGCTGCTATAGGATTTTTCGGGGTGGTGATCACGAATATCATGTTGATTTTGATCACAGATGATGTTTTTATGCATTAAGGCCAGGTTGGGTCAGGTCAGGTCAGGTCAACCAGTAGGGGTCCTAGCGGGAATTTCTTATTGCGTGTCAACCGCCTCTGACAGCTTCGTAACATGTTACGAAGGCACCAAAATTACTTTGTAAATGTTCAAATGGCTACTAAGTTCGAATTCAGCTCCAAAAACTGACCTAGAAACATGTAAAACTCGTAAAAGTGAACCGAACTCATCAAAGATCAGTGACCTGACCTGAACTCCGCTGACCTTGACATCCACCCTAATGCATGGGAGCAACATCAAATCACATGTTTGAACGCTTGAAACCATGAAAAGACTGCAAACCCACGACTAACGCGAGCTGACATACGTGTACGCCGAATTGCAATTCCGGCCAAACATGGTCTCGAAAAGTAGGTCACAGGTCAAATATCATTTGGGTCAGGGTCATGTAATTTAAAGGGTGGGTGAAAAATTGATCAAGGGAGATAACTAAAAGTTTCGTTGCGATCGGCCGCTTTTTTGCGAGTCATTTGTGAAAAACCTTAGGGGAGTTGCATCAACCCCCCGTGCCGGCGAGGGGCTGTAGGGGTGCTAAACATCAATCAACACGTGCTAATGTGCACGAGTATTTTCGTTAGAAAATTGATGTGTCTGTTTTGGTCGTGATTAAAAAAAAATATATACTTTGCTCGCTCTCGTTTACGTTACGTGCGTTACGATATCTCCCTTACAGAATTGACATAAGAAAGCTAGCTGCGGGTGTCTCTAGCCTACACACGTAAAATATTTGAAAGTTTCTCCAAGAATTCCTCACCAATGGCGAAGGTCAAACGCTGAACTATGAGAACTCTGTGTAAACGATGAACACACGACTGACGACGGCCTAATTTCGGTCTATTCTGGAGCACTCATCCTCTCCCTTCTCTCTCTTCCTCTCTCTCTTCCTCTCTATCTCTCTCACTTTCTCTCGCTCTCTCTCTCTCTCTCTCTCTCTCTCTCTCTCTCTCTCTCTCTCTCTCTCTTCCCCTATCTTATTCACTTTTCCTGCTTCTCTCACGCAAAATCGAATGCCATTCATACTGGCTTTTAAGGCAAAATATGAAATAATTCCTATCTCCAGCCCTCAACAGACTTTTCTTCCCAACAATAGCACGAAATGCCTCTCTGGACCACTTGTACTGGTGCAGAGTCATGGTCTGAAGGATCAGAGAGTCGTAAAAGTAGGTTGGCTGTGGGAAGGGCCGGGAGACCTCCAGTGACCTGGACGCCCGGTGGATGTGCCGAGGAACTCGTCGCCAGGTCACGGAGGTCACGCTCCCCGTGCCGCCCGTAGCGCGTCCCACCCAGCAGCAGGTTGATGATGTTTACCGAGCCCACTGCTAGTGGACAGACATTCGCCGCTCCCAAATATACCGTCCTGCAACTGGCATGGAGTGGGATTTGTCCTCAGTTTCACCAGCCCAGATTTAGTCAGGCCCAGCCCAGACTAGGGTCTTTCCTTATCCAGCGCATAAATGGCGGGGGGGGGGGGAGCCCGATGAAGCTCTGCAGAGCCCCTCCCGTTTTCTGCGACATCTTTAAAACCGCTAAACATATCGACACAAAACTGTCATTACCCTTGGGTACACCACTTTGACACCATGTATCAAGAGGAAAGTTTCGTAGCTACTACAGGTCAGCCGGAAATATGACGTCAGAATGACGTCATATTCGGCCGATTTTGATGCAAAACATGGGCTTACAACAATCGATTTCAAGCGCCCTGTTTTTTATAGCAAGAAGTGGTTTTTTGAATGATGAAATGCATAGTGCACTCAATAATAAAACTGCAATAATGCTCAATCTTTTTTCTAATAATTATACCTATACCCTATACCAATACTTTCTAAAATTATCTCCTAGAATTCTTTACATAAAAGTTCTTGAATTTTCAAAAAAAAGCGGAAAACATATGATAAAAAAACATACAGATAACCAACGCTAGAAAGTTTTAGCCCGATAGGTAGGTATCTTTTGGGTATCTTAGAAAATAACCAAATTATCCGCTTTTACATTCTGCCGTCAATTACTCACTTCAAATGCAATTTTCAGTATGTTTTCGACATCGTGTACCAACACAAATAGAAGCTTCGTATTCCGGAGCTCAAACTGCATCTGACAGACCACTTGTTTTTTTTGCGTAACCCTCGCCGGACCTATTGGTTTTCTACATACGCGCCGGCCGAGGGGGGGGGGGGCGGGTACGACCCCCCCTCGCCGTTTCGCCCCTGGTGGAGTTAGCGCGTCGCGGAAAAACGAGCGTGTGCGCCGTTACGAGACGCAGAGATTGGTACCCGATTTTAAGGTCCTAGGTCGACCGGTCACCTCTGTGGTCAGGTCAAGTGCCCCAAGGTACTACAGCCCACCGCTAAAGTAATGTAGGGTTTTACCAATCTCAACGGTTGGCTTTGACTGGCGATTGTTTAATGCGGAGTGATCGAAAAGAAGATGTCAATAGCTAAAGTT